TGATTAGTCCTTCGCATTCCCCCATCCTTGCTCTTGCAAAGCTGCCTCTTGTTTTCAGCTGGCTGGAGTACATTTAATAAGCCATGTTCTCAGTGCTAGTGTAGTTGTTTACGCTGGCCCTTTTTGGCAGGGGAAGTTCTTTTTTTTTCCTGATGAAAGGTCAGTTTATTCTATTACCACATTTACAATGGCAGTATTAAGGGAATGTGATGGCACTGCTGTCTGTAGCCTGTTCATTAGTTAGCCTCATCTTCCCATGGTGCAAACAACTTTCAGAGAGTTCCCTGAGCTGCTGCCAGAAGAAGAACAGTTTATATTCCAGAATGGTTGCTCATCTTTTTCTCACACTTAGAGGAAGTGGGTGGGGGGGGGTGGGGGGGTCATATTTTCCTAGCTTTGACATATGGCAATTGGAGTGACCCGAGAAAAGTGCTAAGACTCCTCTTCCCGCATCCTGTAGAACTGGTTTGAACCTGGTCACCTTGTAAACAGCTTCAGTGTTTATTTGCAAAATTGCTCTGCAAGTGATACTGGGCTGTGATCTGAAGCATTATTATCATGAAAGAAACCACACTGACCTCAGTGAAACTACTCTTGGAGTAAATACCTTTATTATAATGATTTGTTGTAATAATGATAATAATGAGTTAACATAATAATGATTTATTATTTCTACAATAATTTCTATACCACCTCGTAATCAAAGCTCTTCCAGGTGGTTTACAACCATGTATAAACAAAACACTAAAAAAGTACAAATATCATAAAAAGCAATGTTAATGAATTTAAAATTAATTTAAAATAGCTTTAAAATATAGTAAAAATACAGTAAAAAGTCCCAGCAAAGAAGACTCACTCCCTCAGACCCCTGGATAACCAAGGAGATCCTTAAACACCTCCACTTCTAAGGCTGTCTTGGCCTGTCACCGAAAAGATGGCAAATTCAGGCCTTAGGGTGCTGCAGCAGGAAATGGTTCCAAAGATGGGGGACCCCCTACAGAAATAAGGGATGTACCTACTCAGGATGTGGTAATGTAATGATGATTAATCGGGTATGTAATCCTTCTCCTGGAATCTAGACAGACAGACATTTTCTTCATGATTAGGGTCCCATGATTAGTACATTTTTGAAGAAAATTGGTAGTGCTGAGGATTTCTTGTTTCCTTCCCCTATAAGTGTGTGGTACCACAGCTTAACAGTTCACATGTGCTCAACACAGGTACTTTGCTTTTGATCTAGATTTTAATCAAGAAGTTATTTTATCTGTCAGACCTGGGTGTCTTTAGATAAGCCCAATTCTAACGCATTAGAATCAAATCAGATTACAGGACCTGCTGGTTTTTCAACCCCTGCAATTATAAGAGTTTGTTCATCAGTGCAGTAGGAGAAAAATGAAATGCTTTCTTGGAAAACATCATTTCCCCCGCTTAGTACAGACATGCCTGGACCATTGAGATAATTGACACTGTCCTTAACTGGAGCTTTTCCTTCCTAAATTGCATTGAACTAGTACAGGGATATTGACTGGAAACCATTTTTTCTTCTCATATTGTATGCCATCCTACTGAGACTATATTTATAAGAGTTAGATGCTGATAAGATCATTTTGCTTGCTGATAAGGTTACTTTGCTAGATCATCGACTACATAAATTATGGTGCCATTAACTCCCACCTATACTTCTGACAGAAATGCTTTGATGTACAAGGAACAGTTGGCATTTACATGTTGAGTAGGCAAGCTTCTGACTGAAGAACTGGAAAAGTTCTGTCTTGGTGTGCCAGTCCTTTTTTTTTTTTTTTTAAGAAACCCCTCTTTGCATTTGTATATAATGAAAAATAAAACAGTGTGAGGAGGCTGTAGGACAGTCTTTGCCTGATCTCTTTTCTCACCCTCTTCTATGGAACCTTTACTTAGCAAGAGTTAGGACACAGACTTTTCACTCAACAGCAGCAGCTTATAAACAGCTTATTGTGATGCAAAACAAATCCATGGTGGAGTACAGATTGTCCAAGGGAGTCCATGATTCAAATGTACTTTCCTTTTCATCCTTATTTTTAAGCTGTGCTAAAATGCTTTCCATTTTACATCCTATATTTATTGCTGGATCTCTGAATTCAAGCTTACTGGCAATGTGTACAAGAAAAATACTTTCTGGGCTTCTTTTCTAGGTACTGTTCACTTATCTGGTTTTATCTTCAGTCTGTTCAGTCTGTACCAGTGGTCACAGGATCTTGTTCTCTGAGGCTCCTAAAAGCAGATCTGAGTCAGATTAGTCATGCAACCTCCCAACCTGGTCAGTTGGAGCTTCTTCCACTTCCTGAAGCCCCTTGCCTTTCCTTGCTGAGAAAGGTGACAGGAATGCAGAGCCGGCTTCTTCAGGAACCACTTCAGCCATTCCCGACCCCCCCCCCCCACTCCACTTTTGAATTATCTTTTTTTAAAGGAAGATAATGATTTCTTGATTTAAAAAGGGAAGCAAATATATCTGTCATCCCCAACAAAAGTACAAGTTACAATTGCAACCTACTTAATCCAACATCCTGACTTCAAGCACGGAAGCACCTGAAGTCAGAATGTAAGATCACTTGTACTTTCCTTTTTTAAAGGGTTAGGGTTATAGTCTGACCCTTGGCAACTTCAGTCTAATATATAGACAGTTGCACAGTTATTGGATCATTGAAGCAGAATCCTAAAGTGGCACCTTCTCATTGTCTGTGCTTGATGGGGGCACTGAAGGAGCACTCAAGTTGCATGCCATCTTTGTGTGCGCCATGGACCGTGCTTCTCCCTCTCGGCAGTGATAGTCTCACCAGCGCTTCTTTGCCAAACATATTTATTTTACATGGAAGTCTCTGAGCATGCACCAAGTGGGCTGTTGAACCCTCTCTGCCCTCTTCACCCAAAGCTTTCCTTATGAATCCTTCTGCATCTGTCCCAGGCATGCCTGCACTCCTCCCTCAGAGATCCCAGTTGGGCCACCCTACAACTGTAGAAATGGACTATCAGGTGGGTTCAGTTGAGTTCCCCATCCAATAGACTCCCCATTTCTAAATCACTTCCCTCCAGACATTGTTGCTCTTCCTTGTTCCCACAGGTGGGTTGAGTGGGCCCCTTGGCTGCCCTTGAACTAAACTTCCCCATAGCAGGCACAGACCTTGAACTGCAGCTGGGACTGGGACCGTTTCAACAACCATCTTGTTATCAGAGTCTGAGGCATCAGTCCTGCCAGAACTGGCAGCCTCTCGTGCCCCCATTTCATCCTCAGATTCTGAGCTGTCAGTCCTGCCCAAATGGTTAGCCTCTCGTGTGTGCCCCGAGGTTAGACATAATGCGCATATACAACAGTGTGATCCTTGTATGTTACTGTTTGGGCAGCAAAACAGTTTAGATGAGGTCTACTGCTTTTTTTTTAAGGGGGACAGGGGTGGGAGAGATTCCACAAAAGCACATTCACTTGGACAGTGTGTTTTGTGTGATAGTCTGGCATTTTTTGTGTACCTTATCTACTTCCCTTCTCGCCCTCTCGATCATAACAAGGATTCTGATCAGGCCCAAATGATGAGATTTTGGCTTTTTAGCTTCTAGGAACAGGTCAATGCTGTGTGCGCATGTGGGCAAGAGCTGCGGACCACAGCTCTGAGAGCTTGCTGCACAGAAGGTAAGAGGTGGTCTGAGGGTTGGCCCCTTGCTTTGTTTTTAAGTCCCCTTCCACTGATGAGCTTCAGGGGCCCTGCTGTGGGGATCTCACTGATGGTACTGCTATGCCCTTAAACTTTCTGTTGGGAATCTGAAAGTGAGACAAATACTGCCAGATCAGCACTTTTGCCAAATCCAACCACACTTCCATCTTCAGTAGCAGGTCAGGTTGCTCTGCCCAACATGGAAAAAAAACCAATCAAATGTGTAATAGTAAAACTACATATATTACAAGAAACAGAAAGACAGCAAGCTATAGGATTTCATTAAAATGAGTGGCATTTTTAGTCTTACTGCTTGTTCAAAAAATAAAATAAATCATGAAAATGGATCTTGTGCTTTGCCTGAGATTTCACAATGTTTAATATGTCTCTTGGAAAAGATATTTATCTTCAAGGCTGTTACTAGAAAAATCTATCAGCAAGACACAACAAGGAAAGTCATGTGGAAAATTAGTTATTTTATACTTCACAGTAGATAGTACAATACTACGGCAATGCAATTTGGTGGCAGTGGTGTTGCTCTTTTGCTAAAAAAAAGCCACATAATTTCCCAGAAGCAGAATTCTGATTCTTCTAAATACCATGAACTTTAAAGCACCATTGTTTTCCTTCTTAGGTAGCTTGTTTTGTCAAAGTGGGGACCTGTAGCTAGTGCACTTTTAGATATCATGATCCTAAAACTCAATTTGACATAGCCACCTTTACAAGGGCCAGCATGGAAAGATTTTGTTGCCTAGTTCTGTTGGTGCCCATGCTTCTTCTTCTCAATAACAACATGAAGGAAGAGCAGCTGAATTTCCCACATAAACCAAACAAAACACCTCCCCATCACTTTTTCTTAATATACATAGTCCCTGAGTTATGAACAACCCATACTTATGAATGCTATAAACTCTATATGACTATATTTAGCAAAAAGCTCTCAATATCTCTAGGGAACTACACAAAGCATTTGGGAATGCATCATCAGTGGGTGTGTAGTTCCCTAGAAATACAGTGGTTATGGCTATCTCTAGGGAACGATACAACACATTTGGTGACATATCACCAGTGGCTGCATAGTTCCCTAGAGATACAGTATTCACTGCTTTTCATTCCATGGCATCAGCTCAAGTGTACCCAAGCCAGTGTGTTTCTTGGGCATGTCAAGGCACATAGTTCCCCTTTGTTTTTTCTTTAGCATATGCCCTTGTGACCATGCCTCCAAAGTGTGAATCCAATGCAAGTGCAGGTGATGCATCAAAGAAAAGGCAAACAATAACGATGGAAACTAAAGTGAAAATAATAAAGTGACTGGAGAAAGGTGAGATGTCATCTTTATTACTTTATTATTATCATAATAACAATGCTGTGTCATGTTTAAAACAGTTTGTGTTTCATGTTTTATATACATAAAAAGGTAAAATATATACATAAACTGGGGACCACCTGTACATACATTCTGGTACATATAGCAAAATGTTCCAACATAATTAGTTTTCACAATGGGGACAAGAAAGAATGGATGCTTTACCAAGGATCTGCATCGGGGCTGGTGCTTTATGACTTGATCATAAATCACCTGGAATTAGGAATGAGCAGTGAAGAGATTTTGCAAATAACACAAAAATATTCAAAACAAAGAAGACCTACAGCAAAATGTTACAGTGTTGATTCTTTAGTGTTCCAGCAAGACAGGAAGGCTTTTTTTCATTTATTTTTTAAAATCTCCTTCCCATTCAAATCTACATAACATTGTACCCTCAAAAAGCAAAATTTCACCTATCCTCTAGGCTTTGCTCCTCAATTCATAAAGTACTTTTTATGCTTCAAAATTGGGACATACTGAACAAAACAGAATGAGTGGCAATCAAGGAATCCAGGGAATGCTGTGACTTCTTGCTGCTGGTCTCCCTCAAATAAACAGTGTGCAAAGGCCCAGACTAAGAGTGCAAAAGTACATCCTAGAAACCTATTGGGTGGGAAAGAAATTTTGACAGCTAGCTAGCTGTCAAAACTCTGGGTACTTTTTAGAGCAGGGTATTGATGAGACACCTTTTTTTTCTTTTTGGACAAGAACATAAAAAACTAAGTTGGTATTGCAGAAAAATCCACTGGCTACCCACAGGAGGAATGAGGGGTGGAGGAATTGGAGAAAAGGGGTGACACCCCCATTGTGAACCCAATGATCTGTCAGAGACATTGCCAGTTGCCTGGTTAACAATGAGCCCACTGTGTCTTATTACCACAGTGAATTGTCACGACATATGAACTTGACCAATATCAAAGCATTCACATTTGGTGCCCTTCTCTGTAATACATGGCTTTGAGTCTTCAAACTACTGAAATCATAGTTGACCAAGAATTATAATTTAAGCTCTAGTTCTTTCATGAGTGTGAACATCTCTGTGTAAAAGCATTCACAGGCAACAGGTAGCTTTCAAAAAATGCCAGCTGATAATATCTGACAGCAATCTTACTTTCTTTTCATTTTAAAAAATCTTTCTCGCAGACCCTCAAGCTTACTGAAAGTCTTTGCCTATAGTCATTTTACTCCTAAGAACTCTGAAATGAAATGTGGCACAAACAATGCACTTTGCTGATGTTAACTGAAAGCAAAATAGACAAAGCATCTTAGGGTTCCCAGCATTTGCTCACCTATGCCTTCCTCCGGTCCTTTGTCCCCACTGCCTCAAAGAAACTTGGACACTTACAGCAGCCTGCTCTGACCAGATGGGTTGGACTTCAAATCCTGCCATACCCAGCCAGCATGGAAGGCACCAGACTGGGGAAAGGTGACTTAAAGTTTTCTCACAGCCTCACCTGCATAAAACAAGAAGTGCAGGTTGGCTCCCTCTTTTAGTAAACTATCATTATGAACACAGGTTTCCATAGGGAGGGAATTTCAGCATCTTTTGGACCTGATCCAACTAATTGTCATGGATCTGATTCACTAAGAAGGCCCCATTCTTTTCCATGTTGCTAGCTTCAGGAAAAATTGACTTGTGTGATCCTGGAGTTTTTCGACCCCCCCCCCACCTTGTAATTTGTGGTTTTGAGCCATTAAAACTATTGAGATTATGGGTGATCAAGAATAACATTACAGGTATTAAGATTTCTTCAGTGATTTTGGTTGTGTTCAAGACTTTCTGCTGTTCAGAAAACTGCGTGTGATTATCACAGGATCCTGATCTCTTGACACTGATAATCAGTGTAATCAGTGTGATCATCAAAGAAGAACCAAAAAATGTGTAGAATCAAGATATTTATTACTTAGGGTCTTAATCCTTAAAATTAGAAGGACCACCTGGCTTAATTTCTACCCTGCTTAGTTCACAACAGTTATTTCTGGAAATGATGTAGACACACAAATCCTTCTGGAAGACATGCCGAGTCTCCCTGGATGCGGGAATTCTTTGACTATATTCCAAGAACGATGCAAGTGTGCTTGTTTCAGATGATGCCTGGAGGAAATAGGAGGAAATCAAACACATTGAATAAACTTGAAGACACAGAAAATTCCCTACCTGAATACTAATCAAGCAAAGTCTTCCAGCAGTATTTCAATGTATGCCATTATCTGGGATAATCCGAGGCTTCCTTCTCAAACCTGGTCCCTTCAAATGTTTTGGACTGCAACACCCATCAGCTACAACCAGCAT